GTGACCGAAGAAGATCTCAACTACAAGATGAACGACCACGTGATTCTCAAATCCAAGCAAGAAATGGACAAGATCCAAGAGATCACGCAGACCAATTGGCTCTTCAAGCAGCTCACGGCGCAGCAGCGCAACGACGTCTACAAGGTCATGGTCAAGGTCACGGTCAACGAAAACGATGTGGTCATTCGCCAAGGCGACCCGGGCGACCGCTTCTATTGCGTCCAAAGCGGCGACTACCAAGTGCGATATATCCATTTAAAAAATGCCGATAGTAAAATGAAAAAACTAGGTGACGGTCAAGAACGAGACGTCCAACGGCGTGCGCGAAGACATTGTTCACGTGTACCGCGGCGACACGCATCCGTCGTTTGGCGAACTCGCGCTCATGCACAACGCACCGCGGTCGTCGTCGGTGATTGCGCTCACAAAAGGTGTCTTGTGGGCCATTGACTGCCGCGCGTTCCGACTCGTTTTCATGAAGTCGCCGACCAACGTCATCGTCCAGACGCTCAAGAAGGTGGACGTGCTCAAGTCGCTCACGACGACGCAGCTGGAGCGGCTCGCGACCAACTTGACCGAAATCACGTTTGAAGACGGCGATTACATCATCAACCAGGGCACAATTGGCAACACGTTCTTTGTCATCAAGGAAGGCGCGTGTCTCTGCACGGTGTGGGACGTCGCGCCCGGCACCACAGAGCGCACGAGCCGCGAAGTCCTTCGGCTGCGCCAGCACCAGTACTTTGGCGAGCGCGCGCTCCTCAACGACGCGCCCCGTGCCGCCAACGTCATTAGCGTCGGCCGCACGAAATTGCTCCAGATCGGGCGCCAGGCTTTCGAGGAGATTCTCGGGCCGCTCCAAAAGATCATTGACAACGACCGTGCGCAGCGCGAGGCCAAGCACAACTTTCAAATCGCCGTGAGCAACCTCCGCGAACACAGCCCCGAGGCGAGCTCGGTCAAGAACGACGTGGCGCGTGGTCAGCTCAGCTTCAAGTGCGTCGCACAGACAAGCGAGGTCTTTGATATCTTTTCTTACCTCTTTCAATTCATTGCATCAACTAGGTCGGCACCCTCACGACGTTTGAAACGACGAGCAAAGTCCGGCTCACGGTCCGCGTCGTCTCCAAGCGACAGACCAAGGCCAACAACAAGATCGAAGAGGTCATGCGCGAAGCCGCGATTCACAAGAGTATGAAGCGACCCATCTCGGTCGCGACGGTTCCCGTGTGCATGGGCACGTGGACCGACGCCAACGGCCTCTACATGGCGTTTAACTCCAACATGGTGTGCGACATTGCCGGGTTGATGCTCGACGCCGAAACCAAATTCTCGGAAGACGTCGTGCGGCAGTACGCGGCGCAGCTGCTCATTGGTCTCGAGACGCTGCATGATGTCGGGATTGTGTACCGCAACATGAACCCGGAAAACATCATGCTCGACGACAACGGCTACGTCCAGCTGCACGACTTTCGGTACTCCACGATATGGATTTGTCTTGTCCATATATAAAATACGTTGGATTAGGTATGCCAAGCAGATTGACGATCTGCGCACTTACACGCTGTGCGGCACGGCCGAGTACACGGCGCCCGAGATGGTGTCGGCGCAAGGCCATAGCTTTGGCGTCGACATTTGGGGCCTCGGCATCCTCATCTACGAGATGCTCTACGGCATCACACCGTTTGCGTGCGACGACTTGGAGAACGACAAGGATGTGGTGCTCGCTGTCTACTCGAAAATCTCACGCTACGACCGCAAGGACCTTGTCTTCCCAGGCACGGAAGATCGCTCGAAAGAGGTGACGGACCTCCTCTTTCAGATTCTCAACCAGAGCCCGTACGA